CATTATCTCCTAAGACAGTACGACAGCTGTGTGCATAGCAGTCCATTGTGTTAGTGTGGGGAGCACATACCCCGGTTATGGGGGAGGAATAATCACTCTTGATTCTGATTTGGTATAACACTCATTTATTCACTCACTAAGATTACAAGCAATATTTATCCCATCTTCCAAGTGGAAGCAGGAATACCTCTCCCAGTGTACAGGTCCAGACTCGCCACGTCTGTTCCTCTGGATCTCAGGTCAGCCTTCCTGTGGTCAACCTCGTCTGGTGAGGACAGGATCTTTCGTCCCTGGCAGAGGAGAGTCGTCTCACATGAGGGTCTGATGAGCTCTGTTGGTCCTGTCTGAGGCTTCATCTTTTATACCCCTTTCTGGATAGGTTTCTAGTCTTATCACTACTTCCACACATAGTTTATCACTGCTCCATTTATGGTTTATTTACATTGTTCTATTGCTTATCACGCCTGACCAGGGTTGTTCACCCTAGTCTTACATGTTCCTTGCAGTTAGCTATTGTAAGCAATCTAGAGATGACTGGAACTGGAGGGTGTGCTTAGGCTATAAGCAAACACTATGACTTGCATATCAGGACCTGAATATTCATCTTTGAATTCTGGTACCCAAGGAACAATGCATTATGGTATTCAGGACCAACTATATTGTGTTCCCTTTTGACAGATAATGTGATAGACCTGGTCAAGCTGTGTGAAAGTCTGTCTTTGTATGGGTCAACTGTAGCTGCGTGACTACTTCAAAATCAGCATCATACACTGATCACCATTTGTCTATTGAGTTTATGGGTCCACTGAGACAGCTTTGTCTCATGTGATAGGTTGACTTGAGTGGCTCCAATCCATGTGACTCTCTTCCACTCTTGGTATCAGTGATCAAGGCCAGTTTAACACTAAGTTTAAAAAAAAAAAAAGAACCAGAGAATAACCTTCATGTTGATGCCTCACTAATGTCTCTTGGGCTAAAACTAGTCATGGCTAAGCAGAAAGTCAAGGACTGGAGAGGTCCAATCACATTTGCAAAGTCCTTCAGTCACCCCCAGAATGTGTTTTTAAAATTGTGTGTGTGTGTGTGTGTGTGTTGGTATGCCTCGGCACATGTGTGGGGGCCAGAGGACAACTCTGTGGAGTTGGTACTCCTTTCGCCTCCATGTGGTGGCAGAATGGTGTGGACCACGTGGCAACCATTGCTGCTTGACAAAGTTCCACATTTCCACATTGCAGACCACACTTCTCCAGCACCTTTTTACTTCCATTTCTAATGATTCTCAATATTAATGCCTTTCCCTTTGGGAAATTTTGCGCAGGCTTTGGTAAAGGGGAAAAAAAATGTGTGTGCAACGGTAGCCTCCCTAAACAAAATAATTCTTTGGAAAAAAAAATCTGGAATTTCATTGTGCTCTCCTAATTACACCAGAAACAGGAAAGTTAGATTTACTAGACACACCTGATTCCAACGATGAAATGTTTACAATTCAGATCCAGAGCCTGAGGCCATTTGAAGTTCAGTTAATAAATACAGAGAAATCAGAATGGTACAGTATAGTGGGAAGAGAGTAATGGGGACGTTATGAGGGGAACAGGCCCATATAGTAAGACTAAGAAATTGTAGTATAGTGTCTGCACCCCAAGGTCAGGAATTTGGATTAGGGTCTCTAATCCCCTGGGGATTTGAGGAAAGTTCCTGCTTGGTAAAGCAGTCGTTCTTATCTCTAGCAAGAGGAGCTTGTGGCCCTTCATTAGCATATGACTGGCGCCTATTGTCAGGGTCAGTGCTGGATTCCTCAGCCCCTGATCTCAGGGCACACCCCAGCTCCCATGCTCCTTGTCTCCCCTTTAATCCCAGGTGCAAGTATAAAAGGTCCTTTTCAATTACACGCTGCTGGCAACCATCCTTGTTCACCCTCAGATCGCGTCCTTCTCTTCCTCCTGCCTACCCCCACTCCACACATCCTCTTTGGCACCTGAAGCATGTCTTCTGACTTAGCAGACATCTAGCTCAGGCAGCCAGGTTTATGTAGCTCTTCACCTGCTGAGCCGTCTTGCCAGCCCGTTTTATCACTTTAATGCAGAAATTACCCCTCACACCAGGTATTTAAATCACTCTGTGTCCACACCCAGGCCAATGCAGGACATGTTGGTGGAGGTTCTGTATTAGTTTCTTTCTTTGTTGTTGTTATAAAATATTGTCCAAGAAGCAACTTTAAATGGGGGAGGGAGTGGGGGAGGGTTGGAGATGGGGCGGGGGTGGATCTTAGCTCACAGCTTGAGGAAAGACTGACTATCAAGGCAAGGAGGTCATGGTCACACAAACAAGGCTTGGTCACACTGCATCCACAGTCTGAAAACAGTGGTGAATGTGTGTGTGTGTTGGGGGGGGTGGATTTCGGGGGGCGGCGGGGGGATAATGCCCAAAGCAGCTTGACCACACAGCTGCCATGACAGGCTTAGAGGTCCAGTCACAGCTTCTGGCAGGCAACCTGGACCCAGGAAAAGCCATAAGCTGACCCCACCCAGGGAGGGCCTGCATCTAAGAGGAAATACCTGACATTCCAAACATTCCCTATACCCCTAGACAAATATCAGCCAATCAGTGTCCTGAACCCTGGAAATCCCCTCACCCCAAACTCTACTGTGGTAAAAACCCCACCCTGCCTGGGTCTGGGCTCTCTGCTCTCACCACTGCCTGGGACTGAGAGTCCAAGCTCTGAGCTTGAAAATAAAGGCTCTTTGCTTTCACATACGGAATTTATCTCCATGGTGGTCTTTTGGGAGTCCCAGTGATCTGGGCATAGCAAATGGTGCTCAGCCAGCTTTCTCCTTTGCAAATGGGACCACAGCCCACAGGATGGCACCACTCACACTCTAAAGCTCATCTAGATTATCCTCACAGACACAGGCTTGTGACTCTGTGTCCTGTCAGGCTGACAACATTAACCACCCTGCCTCTTTTTCAGAGTGTGAAATGGGCTGAAGGGGTAGCCCTTCCTGTGTCCACACCCTTGGTCTGCAGTTAGCTCTCCTGGCTGCTCCACGGTTACAGAATGACTCTCTGCTCAGGAGAGGGTCTGTCATATCCATGGTCATTTCAGTTCTTAGAGAAGGAACTGGAAAGCCAATTAAATGTCATGTATACATTTTATTTTTCTAAATCTCATTTTTCTTGGGGACCCTTTTTGGGGTCATATCATTGTTAAGTTTCAAACAGGAGACAAAGGGCTGAGGTGCCTATTTAGCATATCAAAGCAGACCTGGCCTCCAGATTCTCCCAGCATCCCTCAATCTCTACCAGTTACCTGGTATGGCTGGCATACTGGTCCCCTACCCAGAATTCTCCAGCCCAGGGGCTGGACTGCCCTTCCCTATATAATCCAGGCGTTTTGGATAACTGACCCTGTTTTGGATTTTGGCCTCCTGGCTGCTGCACCTGGTTCCCCTCTCTTCCCTTCCCCGATGGCCCAGCTCAGTCTGGTCATGTCCACTCAGCAGTCTCCCAGATGTCTACAATAAACTCTCTCCTCCATCATACCTAGGAGAGCCATGTCCTTTCCTTTACGTTTCTTTTTCCATTCAATTATCAGGTGTTCCCTAAGCCATTCATAAAGGTGGTTCCTTTGTTGATTCTTGGTTGGTTTAGGTTGGATTATGTAAATCCTAATATTTAATTAATAAAATATTTATGCTACATAGTATAATATTATAACTTATATATACAATATATATAACTTATGATATACAATATTATATTGTATACAATATATGTTATAATTATATTTAATTAACAAAATAAAAATCTTATTAATTTTGCTAAAAATAACTAAGAAATTTTACTAAAAAAAAACCATATGACTTCATTCTGACAATGACCGCATGTGTCCCAGAATCACTATAAATGTGGCTTAACATTACACAGATTACAAAGTCATGTTGAACCGTCTAAAGGATGGACTCCCTTGTGGACAGGTGCACCTTAGGCTCCTTAATCTCCACTGCGCTTCTCATCCAGGATGGAAATCTCAGATTCTGGAGGAGAATAAACCAAACCAAGAGGGTGAGGCCACCAAGCGCCAATCAATGTGGATTCTTTCTGTGCTGCTGGGCGTCCATGACCCCAGGTTGTCTGGTTCTGTATCGCAGGGCTCTCAGCCTGTGCTCTGTACCAGAACTACAGCTTCCATTCACCCCAGGAGTCCAAGGTTGTGCTCCAGGAACAGAGGGAGTGGCAGACGGCATTGAGTATGTGCAGATGTGTGAGTGGAGACAGTGTGGCGGTGGATGGAGACAGTGGGCTGGCCTGAAGCGGGGAGGGAGGCTAGACAGCTCGGTCCCCTGCTACCCAGGAGTTTGATCAGGCTTTTGAGGACAGGCAGGCCACGGAGCAGACCCACTTTCACAGCCAGCGCAGGAGCCCAGGGAGGGAAGGTAGGTCAGGGCCATCTGTATTCACAACGGGGCTGGAACAGTTCTTTCCCTGAAGGTGATGGCGCAGAGATGGAAGCGGAGCAGACACGGCCATTATTTTAGGACTTTCTCAAATTGTTCTTAGATTTGGGAATCGGTTTCTAAGGAGAGTGCTGATGTTGATATACATGACACACACACACACACACACACACACACACACACACACACACACACATATAGTTAGTTTTTGAAATTAAAATATAATTACATAATTTCTCCTCTTTTTGCCCTTCAGCCCCACACATGTGCACTGTATCCTTGTTCTCTTAAATTTATGGCCTAACTGAAGTTACATAAATATTCCTAAATATATAAATACAGCCTGCCCAGTCTATATAACCTTGCTTGTATGCATATGATTTTCAGGGTTGACATATCTGTATATGTCTTAGATTTGTCTGACTCACAGTTCTCCATGTGACAGCAGGTTGTAAAATTCATTTTGAACTAGCCAGAGAAAGGGGCCCTAGGTTTTGTAGAAATTCTGAACAATAGCTTTTCTTTTTTTTTTTTTTTTTTTTGGTTTTTCGACAGGGTTTCCCTGTGTAGCTTTGCGCCTTTCCTGGGACTCACTCGGTAGCCCAGGCTGGCCTCGAACTCACAGAGATCCGCCTGGCTCTGCCTCCCGAGTGCTGGGATTAAAGGCGTGCGCCACCACCGCCCGGCCAATAGCTTCTTTTCAAAGCCGGGCAATGTTTCTTACATTATCTTTCTGATTCACATAAAGACACTAACTGTTTAGCCTTCCTGTTATACCCTCCCCCACCATCCCTAAGCCCACAGGATGGAAACTGCAGACCTTCCCTTTTACTGTGCCTTATCTGCTAGGACCTCCCCTCCAGACACTGCATGCACCTGCAACGTCGGGTCCCAGCTTTCTGTTCCGGTGGAAATGGCAGAGTCGGGGAAATGGGAGAGTAGAAGGGTAATAATCTTGTTTTTTTTTCCCTCCCTATAACAAAATATTACAGACAAGATAATTATAAAGAAGAATATTTTATCTCTTACAATCAAGAGGCTGGGGTGCTCCAGAGTGAGAGGTTCTCATCTGTCTAAGGCCTTCATGTTACATCATGCTAAGTGAGAAGGTAGAAGGCCAAGGAGCTTCCTCTACATCTGCCCACAGCCTTGCCTGCTGTCCCTGCCTCTCTGAGTCTCCTTTGTTTTGAGGCAGGACCTTGTTCTCCAGTTGGTCTGGTACTTCCTGTGTAGCCCAGGCTGACCTTGAGCTTGTGGCCGTTCCTGAGGGCTGGGAGTCTAGATGCACTCCGCCATGCCTGGTCATTGTCTCCTCATTAACGTCTCTTTAGAGCTTCTGCCTGTTCCCTGCCGGGACCTGACCCAGTGCCTTCCTAAGCCACAGGTTCCTGGACACGGTTCAGTTCTCTTCTCCAGTGTCCACCGCCATGCATATGAATCCCCCTCCCCTGACTCTGTTTCCCCTAGTCCCTGCCTGTCCTCTCCCAGCTGTTTCCACTCCTTTTGTTTTTAGCTTACATGTAGTGCTCGCACTGAGCACGGCTACAAACAGCAGGTGCTCATCTGGTTGTTGATTTGAAAATTGAATATTTATTGACTGTCTCCATGTATGAGGACCGGTGGGCAACTCTCTCTCTCCTGTATCTGAGAGTGTGACCCTCAGAGAAGCTAGCTGCTGTGCCAAGGCACCCAGCTGGGGCTGAAGTCAAGTCTCCTGCCTGAGCTCTTCCTTCCTCAGGCCCTGTCAGTGGAGCACTTCTTGTTTTGCTGAACTTGACTTGAACTCAGCAGAAGGTTGGTGTGTTCTAAAAACAGCTAACATGACTTCAGGGGTTTGAACTGTAGTAGCATGCTTTTTGCTAACTCATTCATCAGAGACACTTGCCTGCCTCTGACTTTGAGCCCCTGTAATTCACTGCGATTCTAAAAATTACCCCTGGCTCCCTAAAGGGCTCAATTTTAGACTCACGGTGTCTTGACAGTACACGACTCATTTAAATCTAGAGCAGCAGGACTTTTTTCTTTTTATATCAGAAATTGGAAGTAGGAATCACTGTATTTTATTCCCTACAAAAAGATGTCGATAAAGCTTTATCAAGTGTAGGACCAGATACAGCCAGGACTGTGGCTGCTGTCCTGAAAACGTCATTGTTATTCAATCAGCTCCTTAAAGAGCAGAGAAGAGGAAGGAGTCACAGTGTGGGCATCATAGATCCAGTTTCAAAAGCTAGCTGGGTGACCTTGGCACTCGCCCTAACTCCCCAGCCTCGGCTTCCTCACCTGTGTGTGACTGGACACGAGAGATGAGCAAAGGAGACAGAGTGTTCTCAGCAATGCCCGTGATTCAGCCGCTAAACCTAGCCTGGCACTTTAGCAGAGACCACAATGTCACTTTGGAGAAAACCGGAATCACTGTTGCTGACAGAGTAGGAGCAGAGTGCTGGGTGAGAAAGATCCTGGAATAAAACCGTGAGGCAGAGATGCCCAGGACCAGGTTATCCTGGGACACTACTTGGGTTGAGACACCCACAGCCCTTTCCTTACCCAGGACCCTCACCCTCAGGGAGCTGCACACACACCCCTTTCCCAAGAAGGCAATCAGGTCACTTTGACCTAGCTACTCTTAGTTAATTCTTTTTCTGTGACTAAACAGCTTCTCAAAACTATCTAGGGACCAGTGGCAGAGTGCTGATCCAGCCTGGGCTGGTTTGGTACACTTTCAGCAGGTCACACTGTGTCCTGTAAGCGAACTTTTAGGGGAAATCCCTATTTACCATCTCATGACTATGGGCATGCGTATGATTAAAGCCAGATGCATTAGGGGTAAGGACGTGCACAGTGAACAAAGGCTTACTTAACAGAAGCCTGTCAGTTAAAACAAAGACCACCTATATCTCACCCTTAGCAACAAAGAGGCCCCAGGCCATTACCAGGTGTTTCGGAATACTTTATCTCAGACAGTCCCTGCTCTTTTGCCAAGTATGGACTCTGTACTTACTACACCTAACCTTGAACGAAATCCCTCCATACCTGTGGGATTTTTAAACAAGATACCAAGATCCTGGAAACACCACTCTCCAGACAGAGACCGTTGGCAGCACACTAGGGCCCAGTGCAGAGGACCATGAGTGGTGGTGGGAGCCGTCCTCGGCCTTGGGTGGACAAGGAGCCCGGTGACCCTTGTTTCTTGAAGAGCAGTGTTGCTTCTGTTTGTCAGAACCTTCCTGAAGGCAGACTTGGATTTTCGAGGAAGCTGCTCAGATACACGCACTGAAAGGCCTCCTGTGAAGTCACCACCTTGGCTGAGTTTCTCTGTGAGAGGGAGGAAGCAAAAGTGGCTGTTTGGAGATCCCCTCACTGGTAAGTGATACACAGATTCTGGGTGGAGGGTCAGAAATGGTTGGCATTTTCCTAGAGGGGAGGGGCAAGGTTTTTTGTTTTTTGCTGTTTAGAGTAGTTGGACTGACAGTGTTGTAGCTGGGAAAATTATGGCCAATTAACATTTATATAGAGAAAACATTACACACAGTGCATCTCACATATTAGGTTATTAAGAAATGGCAGGAAGGTATGCAGAGGTGCCTCAGTGGTTAAAGCACTTACCACACAAGCATAGGACCAGAGTTTACATCCCCAGAGCGTGTATATATGCCAGGTGGATGTGGTGACCTGCCTGTGATTCTAGCACTTGGAAGGCTATGGGAACCTTAGAGTAAGCTGGCTAGCCAGCCTCTCTGAGTTTGTGAGCTGAGGGTTTAGGAGAGACCCTGCCTCAGTGAGTAAGTCACAGAGTCATGGAAGGAGATTCTTGGTTACTTTTCTGTTGCTAGATAAGACACCATGACCAAGGAAACTTAGAGAAGAAAAAGATTCCTGGGGCTAACCAGTTTCAGAGGGTAAGTTCATGGCCATCACAGTGAGGAGTATGGCAGCAGGCAGGCTTGGCTGTAGAGCATCAGCTGAGACATTATATTTTGAGACACATCTATGAGGCAGAGAGGCAGAGAGCTAACTGGGAATGGCATGGGCTTTTGAAATCTCAAAGCCCCCCACACCCCGGGGACAGGCTCCTTCTAACAAGGCCACGCCTCCTGATCCTTCCCAAACAGTTCCATCAACTGGAACCAAAACATTCAGACATGTCTCATAGCATGTGTGTGGACATCAGAAGACAACTTTCAGGAAGTGGTTCCCCTTCCACCTTCTCATGGATTCCAGGGGTCAAGCTCAGGCCATCAGGCTTGTGTGGCAAGGATGTAACCTGCTGAGCCTTCTTGCTGGCTACTAGACAGGGTCTTGCTATATCAACATGGTGGACCTGGAACTTGGAGCTATTCTCCTGCCTCTGCCACTTGCATACTAGGATTACAGGCATGTTCCAACATGCTCACTTGATATGTAAACCATATACAGTGACACACTACAAATAAAACATTATTATTGTTATTAATTGAAAATAAATATTTCATACAATATATTTTCATACAATGTAATTTCATACAATATATTCTGATCAATATATTCCTTTTGTGATGGTTTGAAAGAAAATGGCCGTCAAAGGGAGTGGCACTATTAGAAGGTGTGGCCTTGTTGGAGGAAGTGTGTCACGGTGGGGCTTTGAGGTCTCTTTTTCTCAAGCTTCCCTCAGTGTGATAATCAGTTGACTTCCTGTTGCTGCAAGATGTAGCACTCTCAGCTCCAGCATCACGTCTGCCTGCATGCCACCATGATGATAATGGACTGAACCTCTGAAACTGTAAGCCACCTCAATTAACATTTTCCTTATAAGGTCATGGTGTCTCTTCACAGCAAAAGAAACCCTGACTAAGACACTCTTCCTTCATATCCTCCCAAGTTCTCCCAACTCTCTACTCTTACAACTCCACCTTCTTTCTCTCTCTCAAACAGACAATAAAGAAGACAAGAAAAAAACAAAATGAACAAAATAAACAAAATGTCAAAGAAAGAGCACAAGAAATGCACACGTGCACACACACACACACACACACACACACACACACACACACACAATTTATAAAAACAGAATCAGAACGGTAATATACAAGGAAAGACCGATTAGGTAAAAATGTCCAAACAAAGCATTATGAGACCAAAAAAAAAAAAAAAAAATCTTAAAAAATACCATTGAGTTCATTTTGTGTTGACCTTCTTGGCCATCTCCTGCTGGGCCTGGGACCTGCCCCAGGTATGGTTTGTATATCCAGTGAGACTCCCTTGGAGATTCTAATTTTTCCTTTGTGAGCAGTTGTTAATTGGAGATTCCTTCTTGGTTGGGGATGGGAGCTTGTGTCTACTCCCCCACTGGGACTCCACCCGGTTTGGACTTGTGCGGGTCCTGTGCATGCTGCCACAGTCCCTGTGAGTCCGCATGTGCGTCAGTCCCGATGTGTCCTTCGTGTCCTCCATCTGCTGTGGATCTCACATCTTTCTACCTCCTCTTCCACAGAGCCCTGAGGGAAGACATTCCATTTCAGGCTGTGTTCCAAGGCCTCTCACTGGTTGTGGGTCTCTGTATTGGTGCCCGTCTAACACCGAGACCTTTTGGACAAAGGTTAACTACGAACACCTCCTCTGTCTCAGATGAAGGCTGGGTTCCATTTGATGGAGTTGTGAAGGGGCCCCAAAACAGCTTGACCGCACAGCAGCCATGACAGGCTTAGGGGCCTAGACATAGCTTCTGTGACAGGCTTACTGGCAGGCAACACCCAGATCCAGGAAAAGCCTTAAGCTAACACCACCCAGGGATCTACCTAGGGGTGAGGAAGTAAGTACCTGACATCCCAAACATTCCAACCATTAGATAAGGTGGCCAGGTGTCCTTGAGTCTAGCACACACCTATTTTTTGTTTTACAGATACCCCTAGACAATTGTCGGCTAATCAGAGTCCTGGACCCCAGAAATCCCCTCACCCCAACCTCTGCTATGATAAAAATCCCACCCTGCCTGGGCTCAGGGCTCTCAGCTCTCACCGCTGCATTGGACAGACAGAGGGACCGAGCCCTGGAGCTTGAATAAAGGCTCTTTGTTTTTACATATGGGATTCGGTCTCTGTGGTGGTCTTTTGGGGGTCTCCGAGATCTGGGTATAACAGAGTGAGCCTTCAATCCCATCAGGCAGTGGTTGCTTGCTCCCACAATCTTTGTGCCACTTCCACAAAACGTTAACTAGAAATGTGTTCTCTAGGCTCATGCTATCCTCAGTCACTGAGGCCAGTAAATTTTTTTTTTCATTTTTAAAACAAACCCCAAACTCGTAATTGTAGCTGTAGCAGCTGGTTTTAGTTTTTCTATCAAATCTAGCATCTACAAGATCCAAACCTAAGTGCAAATGTACCACAAGAAACACCCTGTTGGTGCTCAGAGTACTTCAAGTTGCTTGTGGTATTAGTCATGGTCTCAGCAGGAAATGGTTTTCACTCTCTTCCAGGAAGATGAAAATTTGCTAAGCCATTTGTAAACTCATAGACAAACCAGGAAACCGGGACAGGGGTGGAATGGCCCAGGGTTAGTAAGTAGGGTTTGTTAATACCTTCAGGGCTGGGGACGAGGTGAGGGAGTAGTCACCAGAAGCTGGAGGCTGACTGCATACCTGCTGCCTTGCAGGAGCAGACACCACAGGAGAGGGGCCGCTCTACTTCCTGAAGAGGGCAGAGGAATGAGAACAGATCCTCACTCTGCTCCTTCCTTCTAACTACTTCTCAGGACTCTGAAGGACAGAGAGTGGGCCACAGATGTAGAGACTAAAGCCTGAGGAGCCAGCAGACACACCCGCACCCCTGTTTTAAGATCACAAGAATGACGTCCAGCAAGCTTGGATGAGTTGCTAGGACCACACGGTAAAGGGCAGCTTAGGAGTGTAGGGATAACGCCTGCGTTACCACCACCCATTCACCATGTCCGAGCGAGGGGCTGTGGATTAAAAAATAGAGACAAAGGCAGCGGGTCGTTCGCCACGGCTGAATGCCGAATGCCGAATGCCATTTATTGAAAGAGGGAGGAAACCTTAAATACAGGCTTACAGCACAATGGCGGATCCCCGGAGGGCAGAAGTTCGCTACATTTTTGCATCTAAGCTGTTTACACCAAATGCAGGATACAGGAACAAAGAACCTCCGGTAGAACGTTAGGTGAGAAGGAAACCGGCAGGGAATCTGAATAGGGAGGACATCTGGTCAAAGTCGGCAAGCAAGGCGGCAGCCACTCACAGTGGGGGGCCAGGGCCCACAGGTCCCCCCTTTTTACTAAAAAATGAGCTTCTGACTTAGGTTGTGTGGGACGTCAGCAGGTCACCTTACCCATCATAGAGACACCTGCCCAGGCCACACAAGTGCTCTGTCTTAGGTTGGTGACCGCCCCCCAAGCATTACCCGTCTCTGAATACTCATTATCATACAGACTCAACCACGTGAGCTGTAGAGTGACTGCTGCCAAAGATCTCAAAGTGGCGCTGGGCTTGCAATCTGTGAGATACAGAAAAGACCAACAAAAGTCCTTACCCACCCATAGCCAGGAGGCTAAAGGCGATTGAGCCATTCCCTTCTTAAATGAGCCTTACTGTAAATTGGAGTCTTTGTAAGGTGGTATCCCATAAGCAAATGGAACTTGAGTTTTAATAATTTTTACAACTTTCAAAGCCAATTTAAATGTATAAATGCAGAATTAAATTTATCATGCCCAATAAAATAAAAGATTAACTAACTGTGGTAGCTACTTTTGCTGCCAGGGTCTCCATTGTGCTAGCTGTAGAACCCAATTATGAAATAGCCATCCCAGAAGCAATAGCAGCAGTGGCCACCACTGCTATAACAGCAACAACGGCAACAGCGATGTCAGATTCTCTTCTGGAGCGTGTGAGCATCATCTGTGTCTAACTGCCACAGTCCACTGGCATGGATGCAGCTCCAGGAACACGAACCACCAAGGCCCATTTTTCTTGATCCCAGCACTACTTAGGCTGGCAGGTCTGCAAAAGAACAACTAAGAACCATAAAGAAAATAAAAAACAAAAACAGCAAACAAGGAGCAGAACTAATGGTCTCATTAATGGCTACCTACATTCAGGCTCACAAATTTTAAGGTATCTTCAAAAAGGCTAGATGAATTTCAGGAGGCCAATAAATGTTGCACAGAGCCATTCCTGAAAAGTAGGTACTACACCTGCTTGAAGAGGGTTGCAAAATGTGAAAAGGCTTAGCTGGCATGCTACTGTTAACAAATGAAGGTCATTGACCTTCAGAGTTATCCTTAATCTCCAAAGTGTGACACATTCTCAACATTTTTGAAAAAGGTTACCATACATTACCTTCTGAAGAATCCAACCACATGGCTACAGTTCCTAGGCTTACAATAATGTTTGCCAAGGCTGGCCGTATTGAGCTCTCAATCCCCATTGGCATCAGAAGGGGAGAGTTTTTTATGAAGGCCCAATAGGTCTCTGCCATGTTGGAATTCAGCAGCAGCCACAGGGTGCACGCAGCGCTCAGGAACCCAAAGAGGAACCTCATTGTCCTGCGGAAAGACACAAACAGATCCCCGGGCCCACACCAACACCAGATCGGGTCCCCTCCAAGTGCCAGTAGAAAGATCCTTCCATCGCACCAGAGGATGATTTGCAACAGGAGCCCTCCAGTGCTTATCTGCAGTGGATACTCCAGCAGAATCCACCGATAAAAAATTTAAAATATATAAAACAAGGGAAAGAATAGAATGTGGAGAAGAGAGATGAGCCCCTATCTCCCCCTTTTTACTTTAGAAATATATGTTTTTAAGGTACGATGGCAGCGTTCTACTATAGCCTGTCCTTGAGGATTATAAGGAATACCAGTCTTATTAACAATAGAAAAGTCTTGGCAGAATTTTGAAAATCCCGTACTGCTATAGGCGGGACCATTATCAGTCTTTATGCATTTTGGTACTCCCATGTAAGCAAAAGCATGAAGACAATGATTCTTTACATCCTTAACCTTTTTCCCTGAATGGGCAGAAGCAAAAATTAGAGAAGAATATATATCAATAGACACATGGAAATATTGCAAGCAAGGTGGCAGCCACTCACAGTGGTGGGCCAGGGCCCACATAGGAGTCCAAGCCCTGCTCTCCCGGTTCCTCCCCCCTCCTCACCTGCTTCCCTCCTCTGGACAAGGAAATGTTTGTGTCATCTCGCTTTAGATCTGGAGCTGAAGGGTCAGGTTGAGCCTCATCCAGGAAGTTCTGGTGTCAGGGTAGGCTGAGGAGCCAGGATGAGTCTGCAGGTCTAGAGAGAGAGAGTGCAGCTGTTCAGGACAAGAGCAGAGCCAAGAGCTCTTTGGCTTTGAGCCACACTCTGAGGTCAAATACTTCTCAGCAAAGACAGAAAGTGAGAGTGTCTGGGAGACCAGGAGCAGAGGAACTAACTCCCAGGAGGAGTCCTGCCTGGGAAAGCCACACAGATGCAGAGAGCTGCCTTGGACCTCTGGTGACCTGTACACTGTATTCATCCTGCTTCCCAAACATGCTCCTTTGTCCTGACTCTCCTGGGATTTTTTGCTTAAGAGGGTCTCTCTCTCTCAAAAAGATTTATTTTTACTTGATGTGTATGGTGTTCTGTCTGTGTGTGTGTGCACCATGTGCTTGCAGGGCCCTCAGAGGTCAGAAGAGGGCACCAGATCCCCTAGCACCAGAATTACAGATGTTTGTGAGCCACGGTGTGGATGCTGGGGAATAAAACCCAGGTACTCTGCAAGAGCAGTCAGTGCTCTTAACTGCTGAGCCATCTCCCAAGTCCCAAGAAGCTTTTTAAGAGAACACACCCATCAATCGAGGTGTGGATGACACCCAGCCACATACTCTTCTATGGCTTGGGGGGATTAGTCCCTAGGATGCCTGCAACCTGGAGCTCAGAGCCACCAGTTTGAGGCATGTTATAAGCGGTTGGGTCAGTCTCGGTTTCTGTGTTCAGCTAGAAATTACAGGCAAATGCGCTTTGTTGTGAGGCAAAAGGGATTTGTTTAACCACGAGTTGGGGCCTAACGGTTTTCTCACAGACCACATGAGCCAGAGTCTTTGAAAAGCCTAAGCACCTTGGGCAACCCTTTACCACAGCTGATGAGGACCCCGCAGCCGGCCCTCCTGCGCTTCCCCACTCTGCACACCTCGCCAGCGGTGACGAAGCCTGGCTCGATCGCCCTCCCCGCGGTGCTGACTGCCTCTCTGGGGTTACTGATGCCCTGTCTTAACAAAAGCTGTTTACTCAGGGTCATGGTCGATGGGCTTTGTAGAGGTGAACTCCGCGTTTTCCTTTACGGGCTGTCAGAACACTTGGTGTCCTTGGTATCCCAGGCAACCAGGGGCGACGCTGCCCTCCTCTTTGTCTGCTACAGCAGTAGCTCAGTCTCCTTCTCTGTAGTTTTTCAGGTGAAACGGCGTCCATTTGTGGTGTGAACAAGGCTGACTGCCATCTGCCATTGCCAGCAGGGTCAATATCAGTGGCCAGTTGTTAATCTGGGGCTCACTGACGGAACTATGTGCCACCAGGGACCTTGCTTCAACTGATTTTAACCCAAATTACCTAGATGATAATAGTACTTCAGCAAACCATTTCAATTTAAATGTACTTGACTGCTAGTCTGTTTTCCGTAGGGAGCAATGGGCACAAGTGTCTCCCAGCTGCAACTCAGAGAACATTAAAAAAAAAAAAAAAAAAAGGCTTGCTGTGCATGCCCTGAGTCCAACCCCCAAAACCTGAAGTAGAAGGAGAGAACTGGCCTCCGAAAGTTGTCCTCCGACCTTAGCACGCATGGCATGGCACATATGCGGACTCTTTCTCTCAAAAATGAAACAAAAACCAAACCAAAGAAAACCCAACCTACAAAAAGGAAAATCAGAACAAAAAGGCAAAAGACCAGTAAGACCAAAAAAAAAAAAAAAAAAAAAAGAATAGCATTTAGTGTATTCTGTGTTGGCCAACCACTCTTCACTTTGTTTTTTACTTGGTGCCACCAGCCTGTCTTCCCTCTTCTTTCCTACAACTTCCTTGAGATTGTCGCGGACATCATGCTCTCTCACATCCCCTGACACTCAGTCATGACCTTGCCCTCTCCAGACAACACACACCGTTCAAATGTCCCTAGCACACCTCTGGCAGCCTCCCGCTTTCCGAGGCGTTAGGGATGGTACAGACACACGGAGGGCAGTGATGTTACAGTGGGCTTCCCAGGACCAGCAGCAGCAACAGCAGCATCCGGGGGGACTTCGAAACACGTTCTCACCATCCGCTCCATAGCCACCAAATCTTGGGAGTGTGATTTTTTAACAAGTTCTTCATGTAATTCCGATGCATGAAGAATTAGCTTTAAAATAAGATGCTTTTTCTTGCTTCCTTCCTTAGCCTTCTGTCTTGTTGACATTGCCAACACATTTTGCTCTGCTCTGCTCTCCCACCATGCAGAACCCAGGGCTGATCTGGCCCAGTTTCCCTTGGCTTTGGAATCTGCAAAAGCCTCAAAGTCCACACTGCTGTTGATTGTATACTCCTTGCCTCCTCCAGCACTTGCGAGCGTGAGGAGCCTGTGAGCGTCAGGAGCTTCTGCATCCCACGGCTAAACCCCAGATGTAATGACAGACCGGCATACATGCTCTAACATCACCAGCACAGGGCTCTGCCAATGTGCGCCCCAGAGGGAAGGTCCGTCAGTCACAACAAACTCCGTTTTCCTCAGGGTTTTGAAGTAAAGGAAAGCCGGGTTAAAACCTAGGCTGTCTCCAATGTCTTTCTGTCCCGAGTCAGCTTTTTCTTTTTCTCTCTGGAATCAGCTCGTGCGTGGATTGGGTTATTATCTTGATTAAAGGTTAGAGATTTCTTAGGGGAGGGCAAAGGGAAGGCAAGGTGCTACTTTTTGAGGTGACCTCATTCCACGCCCCCCAGTCCCAGTTTGTTACCAAGAGCAACCCACACACTTTTGTCGGATAGCTGGCACCCTGGTGACATGCACGATGACTGTGGGAGGGCAAACCTACAGGTCAGCTTGAGACAAAGCACACCTTTCTGGGATAGCGTGCCTCTTTCACGACGCCAAAGTCATCAGCTAGGTAGAAGTGCCTGCCCCAACCCTGGACTGTGGATGATGCCTCTGCTTGAGCCCAGTCTAGGGGCTCAGGGGGATTGAAGGCTGGTGTGGACAGGAGGAGCAGAACCTCTGGCAGATGGGGCCTGATGGAAAGTCTTCAGGTCACTGGGGGATTGTTCTAGGAATGTGGCTCTCATGGGGTTCCTTGTTAATTCTGGTGAGAGGGTTATTGGGAAAGCTAGAATTTGTCTTCACCATATTCTCTATCCTGATTTTAGATAAAATTCCTGGACTTCGAACCCCCAAAACCACGAGCTGAATTCTCTCTCCCCCTCGCCCCCTTTTTAAAACATTCTGGGATTGAACCTACGGCCCTGTACATGCTAGGTAAGCACTCTACCATTGAGCTACACCCTCAGCCCTTAAATATTTGATTTTTGAGACAAAATAAAATATTAATTTTTATTTTTTTCTAGACTGTCCTCAAATTCTCTATAAGCCCAGACAGGCTTGAACTTGTGATCCTCCTGCCTCAGTCTCCTGAGTAGTTTGGATTACAGGCTTGTATCACCAAACATGGTTACCTCTCTTTCCCTGGTGGCCATCTTTCTGTTTCTGTTTCTTTTTTGAGGCAGGATCTCACTATGTAGTCACAGCTGGCCTGAAACTTACTATGTAGGTATGATTGGCCTAGAACTCTTAAAGATCTGCTGCCTCTGTCTCCTAGTGCTGGGATTAAAGGCATGTGCTACCCTACTCATTTTTGGGAGAATGATATGTTGTGACTAAAAGCTAATCACACACGTAGACTATGGTGTTCAGCTGGGAGCCATGTAGAACTAGGTTCATCATTTTCTTTTCTTTTTGAGATGGCTGAGATGTCTCAGTGGGTAGGGTTCTTGTCCCATGAGCCCGATAACCTGAGTCTGAGCCCTAGAATCCACATAAAGGTTGACAGAAAATTGACTCCAAAGAGCTGTCCTCTGACCTTTACATATACTGTGGTGTACTGTGTCCCACCCCACTCAATACACAGATACACTCAATATTGATAAATAAAAATAAGTAGAAACCATGGGATTTTACATTTCTTAATACATATGACATTTTTCCATTAAAAAAAGTTCCTTTTGTATTAGGACACTCCACTGATTACTTCAGTCATAGTTTCATAGTTTTCTCTGCTTAAGACTAAAGTTCAGTAGTTTCTGATTGCAATGGTGTGTTTAGATTTCCTTTCTTCTTCTTAATAATAATAATAAATTATACAATATAATCATATTATAATCAGTATCAATCATAATCACTATTATTGTAATTATTAATAATAATTATTAGTATTGTTATTTTGCTTGTCAAAATATTCATTACTGAAAGGATTGTTAAAATCTCCTACCATGCTGGCCGATTTTCCCTCTGAGTAGGAGTGTTACTTTTATTTTATGTGTCTCATTTATTTTTTGTTTTTGTTTTCTAGGACTGGCTTATGTAGCCTGGTTTATCCTTGAACTCACTATGGTGGCCGTGGCTGATCTTGAACTTCTGACTCACCTTTCTCTGCCTGCCTAAGTCCTGGGATTATATGTCTGGGCCACTATGCCAGGCTTATTTTACATATTTCGTTTAAATTTATTTATTTGTTTATGTGTGCCATATGTGTGGAGGTCAGAGGAGAATTAGCAGGAGGAGGACCTTCTACCACGTGGGGCCCAGGGATTGAATTCAGGTCATCAGGCTTGAGGGCCAATGCCTTTACCCACCACACCATCTACTTTATAGGCCCACATTTTAGAAATTTTGATGAATTTTATTAAGGATGTGCAATTTTAGGGTTGCTGATTACTGCTAACCTGTTTATCTTTAATGACTCAGTTGATCAAAGTTCATTTCATTTTACATTAATTTATTCATTAGATTGTATAAGTTTGACAACACTTAGCACAAGATCTTGAAATTTGAACTTTTTTCAGTCTTCATAGAATGCTGCAGAAAATCTTATTTTATTTCACAAAATTCCCATGACACCTTGTTCTGTGTGGAAATTAAAAACATCGCACAAAACTGTCTTCAGGCTGTGTATGAAAGGTAAAGGAATCTGACTCGGTCCCACCTCTAAGGTGTTTCATTGTGTTGCTGCAAACATTCCACCTCCCCACCCCCTACCCTTGACCCCTGCCACCCACAACTGAAACACCTGTTGGTATTTCAGATAAGGGCTTCTCAACCCGTGTATTGATATTAATATTAATATACTTGTATTGGTTTTCTTATTATTAGCTCGACAAGTTAACACCAATATAGTAGCTTAGGACAGCTTGCCGTGACAGGCTAAAACAACACGGAGGTCCCTCCATCTTGTATTCTTGCTGAGGCCATTTCAGGTTTAACTAGAATTTGATCTCCTTGATGGAGAATTCCATGGAAAACTACCTAACTCTACTCTAGAAACCTGAGGTCAAGATGCCCCAGCCAGCATATCTTAGCTTCTGTTAAACTGCCTGCTTGATCAGCCCTTCAGTTCCCTGCAGCTGCCAAGTGAGATACCAGGATGTGGTTTTTGTCTTTAAAAATCCCTTACCCTAAACACTCAGGGTTACACTTGGGTTCCAAATACCTGAGTATAGTCCCAGCCAGCTGGAATAAAGACTTTCAATTAGCTATATATTGTGTCTGAGTGGTCATCTCTGGTGGGCTCCTTATAACATTTTAGAGGCCCCAGCGAGATTCCCCAGAGACTGGACTCCAACACTTGGGGAACTAATGGGGGCCACACCCTTTTGGCCTGGCCAGGTCATCCAGAGAAATGCAAAACCTCTCCCTGTTCTCTCTGGCCCAGACAGGGAGGAGGCAGTCGTTCCTTGATTTGTGTTCTCTCTCCCTGCTTCCTCCCCTGCCTACTCTAAACAGCTGGTAGTGCCCAGGGAGAGAAGGGGGAAGTAGTTCCCCTAGTCACAGCATGGCAGGGGAAGTGGAAGTTCACACACACACACACACACACACACACACACACACACACACACACACCCGTTCATGGTTTATGTCTTCTTCTCTACCAGTGACCCGTATAATTGGAAGACCCCAAACCCTCCATTTTTGGAGAAACTTCAGGCCCTATCAGCCTGTTGGAAACTGTTCTAAGGTAAGAGGGCATTGGACGCTTTTTTTTTTTTTTTTTTTGGTTTGTTTGTTTTTTTGATGTGGGAGTCAGGATTTGCAGGATAGCTGAAATATGTCATGGGAAAGTGTCTGCTGCCCTTCCTCTAGGTAGCTTAGGTATGTGACTGGAGAGATGAATAGCTGAGCCTTCTTGGTTGAGATTCTACTCCAGGACTTAGAGGTTTGTAAAAGGCATGATGACCTTGCAGAACCCCTGTATGACTGTCCTGAGGTGACTGACCTGAGCCAGTCTATCAAGCTTGATCTGACTAATGTCCCATTAGCAATACTAAATGATAGTATTGGGATCAGTATTGTCTCAAATGGGACCAGGGATGCAGGGGGCAGGGGTGATGATCCAAGATAAGACTATCTAGGCATAATCTTTAAAAAATGGAACCTCAGCTCAGTGAGCTGGACTTTTGACATTGACTCAAGCACTCTCCTGGAGGAAAGACAGTACTATCACCATATACACCGGTAGCCAATACGATTTCATCACAGCCCATGTCCATGGGGCTCTATACAGGGAAAGAGGATTGCTAACCTCAGCAGGAAAAGAAATCAACAATAGAGAAGAAGTCTTAGCCCTATTGGAAGCTATCTGGCTACCCAAGAGGGTGGCCATTGTCCATTGTAAAGGACACCAAAAAAGGGGTTCCCCAGAAGCCAGAGGCAACAGAGGGATGACTTGGCCACTTGGGTGGTGGCCCTAGAACCAGCAGGGCCTCTCTTAGTCTTGGTAGTCCTGCCAGATCCCAGCTTACGAGACGGCCTAGAACACATGGTGGGTCTAGAACACGCTGTGAGTGAGCCTGACTGGGTGAAACAAGTACTGGCCACACGGGATGGACAGGACGAGTTGGGTGGTCTCTCCCTTTGGTGTCTCTTGAAACATACTTACAGGGCTGAAATTTTGAATTTTTGAATTTTTTTTTTGGTTTTTCGAGACAGGGTTTCTCTGTGTAGCTTTGCACCTTTCCTGGATCTTGCTCTATAGACCAGGCTGGCCTCAAACTCACAAAGATCCTCCTGCCTCTGCCTCCCGAGTGCTGGGTTTAAAGGCGTGCACCACCACCGCCTGGCTGAAAATTTGAATTTTAAAGAGAAAACATCACAAATTTTGGCAAGCCCTCAATTAAGAATGTCCCATGCTAACCGCAGACATAGTTGTGGCCTACACACAGCTTTTAGATCAATCTCCACTTTGAGTTAGGTTCTAGAACCATCTAGGTGCTTATATCCTCCTCATTCTGAGGCAGCTCCCACGCTCCAAACTCTACCACTAAGCCACACCCCCAGCTCTGTTTAAGTCTATTTTAAGTTTGTCATATACTCGACGCCGATTTTTGGCCAGAATATAGGAATTCTTCATCTGCCAGAGCCCTTAGAAATTACACAAGCCCTTCCCTGTGTAGGTTTTGTAGACAGGAGCAAATCTTGGTTCAAAAGATTTGCTGAAGGTCTCAGCTGGCTGGGAGCTAGCCTGCATGGTTTGTTATGATAAATTTTACGGCAGAATTGGCTAGCTCTCTCCTAGCTCATCATGTGGCAGTGGGAATGAATCTTTTTAAAGATTTTATTTCATTGTTCAAAAGATTTTCATTTATTTTAATTAATCCATGTACGTGTGTGTGTGTGTGTGTGTGTGTGTGTGTGTGTGTGTGTGTGTGTATATGGGTTGTGCATGCAAAGGGTTGTGCATGCAAATGCAGTGTTCATGGAGGCCCAAAGGCATTGGATCCCCGGGGCTGGAGTTACAGGAGGTTGCCAGCCTTGTAACATGGGTGCTGGACATGAAGTTGGGTTCTTTACAAGAGTAGCATATGCTTTGCTGAGCTGTCTTTCCAGTACTTTATTTTTACTCATGTGTATGTGTGAATGTCTGCATGAATGTATGCCGTGTGTGTGTGTGTGTGTGTGTGTGTGTGTGTGTGTGTGTGTGTGTGTTCTGAGGAGGACAGAAGAGGGAGTCAGAGCCCTTGGAACTCAGTTTACAGGTGGCCGTGAGCAGTGTGACATGGGTGTAGGAACTGAACTCAGGTTTCCTGGGAGATCAGCAACAATGCTTAACCACCATGCCATCTCTCCAACCCTCCAATATGATGATGCATTTTTATTTTTGTTTTTGTTTTTCAAGATAGGGTTTCTCTGTGTAGCCCTGGCTATCCTAGAACTCACTCTATACACCGGGCTGGCCTTGAACTCACAGAGATCCACCTGCCTTTGCCTCTGAGTGCTGTGATTAAAGGCATGTGCCACCTGGCTGATAAATGCATTTTTAAAGCAGGACTCCTGCCCCCAAACCTAAGAGGTCAGAGTACAGGGGAAGACTTGGGGTTTGCAGGTCTGTTATTATCTGTCGCTGAGGCTTTAAGGCTTAGCTTGGGCTCAGGACAGAGACCTGGTTCAACTTATTGTACAGGCGTTGTATCTTCTGGATGTTATTAATTTGAGTTAGTTCCCAAATTTGAATCGCAACCATCATCTCATGTCTTGAAAAATTAAAACTGAGCCAACATCATATGTGCCTGTCTAGGGGAAGGGACAGGATCTCCTGCTCGGGGCCACCCTGCTGGGAGTGTTAGGACCCAGGGGTCATGGAGTCCTGTGGCAGGGCACAGGCAGGTGGAAGGCCGGCAAAGCCAAAGTTCAGTCAGTGCCACGGCTCCATGTGATTGTCAGAGATATCTAACCTCTCTGAGACTCGACGAGGATGGCAGCGCCTCGGCTGAGACTCGACGAGGATGGCAGCCCCTCGGCAGACACAGCCTACGGCAGTTGGTAGGGTCAGTGACACCTGGGAGAGACTTCAGGAACCACTGTCTTCTTTGAGCTAAAGGCTCTTCACATCACAAGGTTGTCCTGATTAATGAGGTCCTCTAGTCCCTCCCATCTGACAGAGGGAGGCTGGCTTCAATACTGACTGTCCTCTGTGGAGCCACTGTGGTCCCTAAAGGAGGAGGGGGTCCCTTGCTTTCTCCAGACTCCTAGGTTTACAAATTTTGCAGATCAACACTTTCAGCTTTTGGTGGCTTAGTTAGGGTTTCTTTCTATTGCTGTGATCAAACACCATGATCAAAAAGCAAGTTGGGGAGGAAAGGGTTTATTTGGCTTATCACTGTTCATCAAGGAAGTTAGGGAAAGAATTCAAACAGGGCAGGAACCTGGAGGCAGGAGCTGATACAGAGACCATGGAGGGGTGCGGCTTACTGGCTTACTCCTCACCGCTTGCTCATACTGTTTTCTTATAGAACCCAGGACCACCAGCCCAGGGATGGCACCACCCACCATGGATGGCACCATGCCTTACATGATGGAGGCATTTTCTTAATTGAGGTTCCCTCCTCTCAGATGACTTTAGCTTGTGTCAAGTTGACACAAACTACCCAGCACAGTGGCCACCCAGGAGCCAAGAGGCCCCTGGAAAATGGTCAAATCGTCTCCTCTCCTCCCTGAGAACCGCATTCTCAGGCTCTGAACAGAGAGGGCCTGAGCTCTGCCCCTTTGCCAGCCACAGGGGAAATTCCTTCTCCTATGGACTGGAGTCCCTACAGAGAGATCTACCCCTTTTCTTATTTTGATGTTTCATTTCTGGAATGGACAGAGTGACTTTTATCAGGGAGCAAAAAGCCACAAAACTATAAGCAGGTGAAAATTTCCCAGAGACATCTTGGTACACCACATAGCGCATTGCATTATGGGCCTTCCTCATCTCTGGTGTGCAAAGGACACTAGGAGGCAGATTGCATGGGAAGTGAGCTGGCGGCTTCAAACCTTTCAGTGGGAACTGCCAGATACTCGGATCTTTCAGGAACGCACCCAAGCGTCTGGGGATGGCTCCGTTTTTATTTGCATATGGAATTCTGGGGGCTTACTCACTCTCTGAGCGGCCCATGCTGGGAAGGTGGGGCCAGCCTGAGGGTCACGGGCTGGGACCAGTGGAGCCCAATGGCCTGCTTTCTTCTCATTGGACTAAACAGCCAGGGGGCAGCATCCACAAAGCCACTGCATCCACGGAAGATTCCAATAAACAAGGAAGGCTCCGCTTTCTGTTCAGAATTCTAGCAACTAGCAGCAGATGTTTAAAAAACGTTTCCCGCTCAGTGAAAGCAAGACCAGGCACCAAAACCAATAAATCATTAACTTAAAGGACAGACTTTCGAGGCTTACTGCCTGGCCAGCTTTGCCAAGTGACAGAAGGGTCACTGACTTCATTGTTGGAAGGAAGTCGGTAATGATTTCCCGGAGCACCCGAGCACTCTTGCCGCGCTTGCGCTGATGGTGCAAGGCTTAAAAGCGAGGCTGTATCGCCCCCTCGTGGATTCCGTGTGCATAACCTATGATGCGGAAACACTCCTAGCAAAGTGAAGGCGCTTTGTGCTACAAATCGCAAACACCAACCAAAAAATAAACAGAAATCAGGGAGCGTCTTGGAATAACTCTGTTTTATTTTTATCTAAAAATTTTATTGAAATATATATTTTTTCGATAAAAAACGCGGCAACAACGTGTCCAGAGCACATAACACGTGAGAGTAAATTACTGACGGTAATAACGAAGGGAGAGGCTCAGACTGGATTGTTGTAACGTACATTCATTAAACACTAACCAGTAGCGCCACAGAACTTACCCTAGAAAAGCATAACTAAACGAGTATGTCAAATATTAGTACTGTGAATACCCCCTTTAATTTATCTGATTTTTTTTCCTGCTCTATAACATATTTGACAAATTAAAGGGTTTATATTTATAGCCTATAACTTGATATGTACACATTGTGAAATGATGAGATCAAGTTATTTAGCACATTCATTACCTCATATACTTTTTTTTTTCATGAGAACACTTAGTCTCAGCAATTTTTGCATATGCAGTGGTGTGAAGCTTGCCAGTGAGCAAGGCCAGCCTTGAGGAGTTGCCTCGAAAGCCAGAGAATGTGGCGCCAGGTCCTGTGTGTTGAGCTGCCTGGCTTATTGTCTGCGCTAATGGTGCTCCCTGATCTTTACAGCTGCTCCAGGAACCCCAATTATTTCTATTTTGACCAAGCCGATTCAACTGGGTGTCTGTCAATCACATCTGAGGGACAACTGCCTGAAATCACGTCTCTACTGCTTAGGTGGTTCGCACTGTACTAAAGCCACCTCAGTGGCTAATTTAGCGACCTCACATTTGGGTTAGCACTGTGGTAAGAGAACACTACCTACCCTGAACACCACTAATAAGTCCCACACACTTTCTGCTGCTGATGTATTAACATTCATCGTTACCAAGAAGAATGGAATGTTCTAGAGAGATCATAGGTAGTTCATTTAAAATAACTATAGTTCCATCTGAAAACCTAAAATATTTCAATACTTTTGTCCTGATTTGCATTGAAATCATTGGTGTAGTAAAGCTTCTGGGAAGACTGAAGAACTGGTCAAATTATAAATACCGAGTGGGGGACAGTGAGGTGGCTCAGGGGTTAAAAGCATTTGCTGTGAAAGGGTGGGGATGCGGGTTCCATTCCCAGAATGCATGTAAAGGTAAAAGGAGAGAACTGATTCCACAAAGTCATCTTATGACTTCCACACATGTGCAGTAGTGCCCCCAACCCACCCCATCCAACAACAATCCTAAGAAACTTGAGTGGATTATGAACCTGATGTAGTATATTAAGTCATGGTGAGCTGTAAGTGGGGGACAATAAAGACGGTAGCAGAATCTTTTGGAGGAAAGGAATTATGCTCCTGAAGAACAGTAGGAGAGTAATTTATTTCTGCATAAAGTAATCATGACTATAAATGAGCAGGCACAGGGCCCAAGTAGGCACCAATCTGGCTTCAGAATTTTGTTATTTTAAAACAATTTCTAACAGAAGCAGCTTCAGCTATGCATTTGCTGTAGTGTGGTGTAGGACGCAGAATAAACATGACACAGAGGAGGTGTGAAATGTGTTCTATGAATACATTTAAAATTTATCTGCTTGATGGAAAGACAGATTGGGCCATCTATCAGTAATGCAAGGGAGCAGCTTCGCCCTGACTGTCTAACCAAATACAAGTTTGGAATTGACTTCTTCAGGCTGTGGGGTTCATCAATTCTCGAAGGCTTTTAAAGATTAGTATTTTGAATGCACAGCTGTAAAGTGATTGTATTTCTAAGTTTTTGATAATCAGCAGGATTATTGTCATGTTAAAGACACAGTGTGGAAGAATGTAAGCCTGTCTGACTGTGAGTCAATTAATGTATAAAATTCCCTTAGACACCAAACATCACTGAATCACAGCTCAGAAATATCACTGACTTCACCTCAGTAGCCTATTTTATTTTCTAACTACTAATAATCAACTCAGTGTTTACAATTTCTTTTGGCTTAATTTATTTTTTTTGTGTGTGTGTATGAGTGTTTTTGCCTGCATGTATGTATGTGTACCATGTGCATGTCTGGTGCCCACAGAGGCCAGAAAAGGGCGCTGGATCCCCTGGAACTGGAATTACAGATGTGACTCATGTGGGTTCTGAGAATCAAGCCGGAGACCTCTGCAAGAACAGACCGGGCTTCTAACCACTGAGCCTCTCTCCAGCTCCTCACTCTATCACGAGGTTGTTGTGGAAAGTGAAGCCGCCAGACCTCCAGGAAGTTCACTGTAGTGACGCGTAAGCGTGTGGTCGAGAAGCCACATTATAAGCAGCGTCAGCGACATCCCAGAACTCCTAGACGACACCCCACAGCCTGACTTTGTTTTGGAACGTGCCACTCATTATGGGGCTGGGGAGGGGCCTGTCTGCGAAGTGTTTGCTCGGCAAGCGGCAGTTGGATCCCCAGAGCCCGTGTAGAGGCTGGGCATGGTGTCACGAGTGTGGAATCCTAGAGCTGGAGGCAAAGACAGGCCGATCCCCTGGACTCACTGGCCAGCCAGCCTGGCCCACATGGCGGACTCCAGGCCAGTGAGAGACTGTCTTCAACAACGAGGTGACCAACACTTAGGGAAAGACACCCGAGGTCGACCTCTGGGTCACACATGTACACATGTGCACGCACGCATGCATGGTAGAGATCTGAATGCACATTTGTTATGGCTCTAGCTGCCTAGTATACTTGGTTATATGTTTTATTGATTAGTTAAGTGCAAATCAATCTGCAAATTTTACTGAAGCAATAATTTTTATCACCACAGCTTATTTTTAATCACAGATATTAGCAGAATGCTTATTAGCATGTAAGGTTCCATAGGTTTGCTTTTGTGGGTGTATTATACATGTTCACGTGTGAAGTGACCCACGAGCCACAGGGTGGTTCTGGACCCAGGATTAGGCACAGACCACACCCCAAAACCGATTTCCAACACAAAGAGATCCTTTATTTAGCAAGGCAAAGAGACAAGGTGGCTGAATCTGAATAGGGCAGAAACAGCAGCAAATAGCTTTGCAGGAGAGCTTTCAGGAGGAAAGAAGGGGAAGTCTGTGTTAGAACGAGGAGGATGTGTGGGTACGTTCTGGTCGGGCATGTTAGTCAGAGGAGCCAAATGGGGATTTTGATCACTGGAGCTTGATGTTTCCAGAGTCAGACCCTGGCGATCAGGCTCAGGAGTGAATGAGGCAGAAGGAAACGGCCCAAACAGACCAGACCTTGTGCAGCTTTAGGAATGTGGACGTGCCCAAGGGAACCTAAGGGTTAGCAAGGGAGGGGAGGGGAGGGGAGGGGAGGGCCTGGTGTTACCTTGCATGCCGTACTCAATAAAGCCTGTTAGAGCCCTTCAGTGTGTGTGTGTGTGTGTGTGTGTGTGTGTGTGTGTGTGTGTGTGTGTGTGTGTAAGGGGTACACACGGAGGTCAGAGGTCAACAATGAGCATACTTGACCCACGGAGCCACTCCTCAACCCCATGATTTTATTTTTAATGAACACTCACATATTAAAAAAACTCTGTAAGATCCGAGGGAATCCACAGGTCAGTGATATGCCAATGTGAGCAAAACATGTTCTTCCACATCAGATGTCCATTTCTTGTCTTCTCTTTCCTATATGTCCTCTCTCTGTGTCTCTCTCTGTGTGTGGTGTGTATAGATGTTTATATTTATGAGTTTATAAGTGTCACCTTATACAGATTTAAAAACTGGGGCATGTGTATATTCTGATATACAGTATTGCATTTCGTTAACATTCTTTGGTTTGTTTTGAGCTAAGGTCTCACTATGTAGTCCTGGTTGGCCTTGAACTCACAGAGATCCACCTGCCTCTGTCTCTTAAGTGTTGGGATTAAAATCGTGCACCTCTACACCAGGCCCTTATTAACATTCATTTAAGTGGTAGAACTAATTATTTCCATCACTCTGCAGAGGAGGAAACCAAGACACAGACTAGAGAAGCTGGATGGTTAGGGCTACATCTTAATCACAGAGAGCTGCTGATAGAAACACGTGCTGGTGATGTGATGAGGGCTCTCTACCTGACGAAGTCGGGATTGGAACTGAGAGTGAGGTTCAGAGAGCACCCCCACCTTCTATCATAGTCAAAGGAGGAGGAGGAAGAAGAGACCCAACGGGAGGAGAAGGGACTGGGGAAGCAAGTGGGGCAGAGAGAGTCACTCAGTGGAGACCTGACATGAGAGGAGCACGGAGAGCCTTCGGGTGACAACTGTCCTGCACGGAACTGTTGCCGAGACTTGGTATTTACACCGACGCTTGTGCCTAACATTCTTCATTATGTGTTTGACGTCATGAGGACGTGGGAACATGGTCTTGCCCATGGAGCCCATGGCTGCTGGAGTCTTGCCAAAGCTGGGGCCTCAGCAGATTTCTAGCTCTCTGCTGTTCTCTGTGGAGTCAGGCAGATGGAAGGTGGGAGTGGGCATAAAGAATGTAAGACAGAGAGAGTTTTCTATTTGCGTAGTAGTCTCTGCAAATTTCTGTTTTATTGCCAAAGAATTTTTTAATTGTAAAATTACCCAGTGAATGAACAATTGATGGAATGTTTGGTAAAAACAAACAAACAAACACCAAACCAAGCCCAAACAAAAACTCCTTTATTTTTGTCTTTGCTATATTGTCATTATAAATTTGAGATGGACTCCGAGAAAAGTAATAGGCCTGTGTCACATTAAATATGTCTGTGCAGAGTGAGCGGCAGACATGTCCAGTGAGTCTGGTAACAGCAACGGCTGCGCCGCCTCAAGGGCTTCACTGCCCTTGGAACCAGCTGTTTCCCAAACCAACCAGTTACACCCACAGTGAAGCTAGAACCTTCCGTCCTGCCCACTTCACCTAGTTCTTGTGGGAGTGTTCAGCATTTTGAATCATTTGTGGGAAGCCTCAGTCAGTTGGTTCGGCTTTACCACCCCCACATTCTAAAGCAGGAGAAGGGGCCTTTGCCTGTTTCACCCCTGAGACTTAAATCCAACCATGTCAT